CTTTTTAAATCAGCATCTGGAATGCGTCCTTGTCGATACTTTCAAGACGTGCTTAATGCAGTCCGCCTCTGTCATTGTCGCATCCTTACGTTTGCACAAGTCGATGACATTCTCTATGCAGCTGGTGAAATTCTCACCCAGGCAGTTGAGATAGTGACTGAAGGTGCTGTTGCGCACGAAGTTTCCGGACTGCAGGGCAACGGAAGACTTTGTGAACTCTGTCTTGTAGGGGGGTCCTCCCTATGTACAGCTGACGCAGAAGCCTAGCTAATGTTTCAGCCGCACACAGTCGTACACTGTGCACGATTAACGTCCCCTATCCGTAGCTAGTCTGATTGCAGCTACACGGGTTTGGGTGAATAAGGCAACAGGCTAGGTCAACAACAACACTTTATTGCTAGGCATTAGCAATAGCGCACAAATGTCGGGAGGAGATACTACAGAAACAAGGGTATACGCTTACTCCTTGGTCGTTGTCCTTGGCTCGCAGGGGGTCGCGGATTCGACCTCCTTCTTCCTAGGCCGGTGTCAGAGAGAGCGTGCGGCCGTCTACACGCTAGTTTTGTTCACTGACCCGGTTGCCCTCTGTCTGACGAGAATAATACCTTTTCTCGCTGAGGGAGGGGAAACCCGTTGTGTGAGCCGGGAAAAAGGGGAATCGCAAGCGCTGGCTGTGGGGGTGTTCCCGCAACCAGGCTTTTGCGCTGTCGTAAAAAGGGAGGCTGGGCGCACGTGCGTCCCAAAGTCTTTATTGCTGTCCAGGTTGGAACATCTCTCTTCGATGGTTCCGAAGCCAGAACTGTGCAATGCTGCTAAGATAAATACGGACGGTGGCCAGTCTTGTGGCATTCTCTTATTCGTTCAGGACTATGGAGTTTCATACAATAATTCTTAGAGAGGAATCTGGCGCTGCGATCGTGTACCCCCATGGGAATTATGGAACGTACAGGCTTCAGATTGGGTTGCATTAGCTAGTGAACTTTCTACGCATCTTTTTCTACAGTTTCAGTTTTGTTCTCGCAACGTGGGTAGTTGGGGTGCAGTGCAATGCACTGAAGCAGCATCTTTGTCGTTCAAAAAGGCTGAAGAGCACTAGGTCTGAGGTCGCGGCTTTGGAGCTTCCCCAAGTACAGTTTAAGCGAAGCGTTGTCCACTCACCGCTGTGCATAGATGTAGCGTCTCATGCCAGTGTAGAGTATTACATTGATTTCACGTTTTCTTATAAGTTTGTCTTGCCAAAACTCATTTATATTGACTGCAAAGCGACGGCAAAGCTAATTAAACGCAATGTCACGCTCTTCTGACTTGACTTCACAACAAAACGAGAGGTGCATTACAACAAAACCCTGGTGGTTAAACTTGTCCAGGTATCGCTTTTACCTTATGGTCATGAAAGCTTTTCAAAACAAGATTTACGACCAAAAGAAACAAGCAAGTTTCGATCAGAAATAACTTCATTTGACTTTGTATTACACTCGGCATAGAAGCCTCGCGAATATCAAAAACGTTATGCATCCAAAGCAAGATCCAAAGCCTGTACTTTCCAACTTCCCACTCCGGATAGATGTGGCGCTGAAGGATGCCAGGTAGACACTAGCGCCTGATTCTCCTCTAGGTATTATTGTATGAAGCTTTATGTACAGGACACTGATGAGTTCTTAGAAAGCCTGGCAGTCGTCGACGTCATGGTCGTCAGTTCTACTGAATATGGTAGGGTCCCGCTGACTGACTGCGCCGGAGCACACGATGGCCTGGGGAGCAAGAGGGGGTTGGCCTGTGGCAGATTCAGTGGTCATGGTGACAGATAGAGTCAGGCTGTGTAACTCCAGGATTATTAAGAGACCTAGCAACCTTCACCAATTATACAAAAGAACTGAGACAGCCCAACAAGTAGAGCTGTTATTTCAGACATGACAGGAGTGTAAGCCTAGCCAGCAAGAACAGCGCAATGCCTTGCCCGAGCCTCTCGTGCTTAGTGCTGACGATACGATTGCCAAGCTTCGCATGATCCACTACTTCTTCATTACAGTAGCGACAAGCTCAAACATCCTTCAAGCGACAAGCTCAAACATCCTGCAATATTCCTAACTCGACATTCCAACAAAATAACAACCCCAGGCGCCATCCTTGAGGTTTTTCTCACGGTTTCATCACCCACGAACCCACCATGATAAACGTCCATTACAATCGCCACCTTAACACCAAAGTGACCTGCGAATATTTTCTGTGAGGCCACCTAGCCTCGCTGCCAGGTGGCAACGCTGGTGCTATCGTGTTAATAATAATGATAATGATGGAGAACCACATGAGCACTGCACAACCTACCGCTCAGCAGCTGTTAAACCTAAATGCGATCTATCTCCGAGAGATTTAGATTTGTGCGCTATGAGTTGAAAATGACTTTACAGGAGGTGGTAGCACCCTCATACCTTTCTTTTCCATTTGAATGCAAGTTTTTAGTGAGGATGTATCCCGCAAGAGTAGGGTCACTAGCGTGGGTTAGGCTTTAATGAGCCACAGGGCCGGGTTCATCGTCGCCTCGTGTGACTAACATTGCTGCACACGTGCTTTCGGTCAGCCAAGGCGTCGAGCGCAGCATGGCAAGTACACAGTACTGCCCTCAAACAATTTGCAACACTTTACTGCCTGCGGCAACACCAAACGTGCAGTACAGAGCCCACTGCAAAAAGACGGCGGGTAAGCAAAAGAGGCTTATTCACGCTACGGGCGAAAGCACAAAACAAAGGTGCCGCGAGCAGGGAAAAGAACTCACGGCGACACGTCACTGAGGGAAACGGTCCCTTACGACTATGCTGCATGTTCTTACCACAGGGCCTGATCACTTGAACGAGGGCAAATTCCGCTTGCGTTGGCTTTGAGAGGCATGGTTTGGCGTAGTAAGACCACGCACGAACACACTGTGCCGCCCTTTGCCCGAGCATTTGGAAGGGACAACGAAAGGTTAGCGTTTGCTGCAGGCGCAAGGCATCGTTGGCAAGTTCGTCTGGGTGAGCTCCGAGAACAAAGGAGCTGACGGATCGAAGAAAAAGAATGTGCTTACCGTTCGCTGTCAAGAGAGCTTATCTGACTCCTGCTGCCTGTGCACGAAACATCTCTGGAGACTCTGAGCGGCACCACAGTTGACATCCGGTTCCAGGAAAGAGAGGTTAACGACACTCCTGCTCTTCTAGCACCGACGGACCGCAGGAGGGCATAATCATATTAGGACATGTGGGTGCCAGAAATAGGTGGAAAAGCCTGCGCAATGGCGCAGGCTTTTCCACCTATTTCTGCGCAATGAGGCGCAGCCTCAATCTCCACAAGTTTAAAAACTATCATTGACAATGTGACCTTTGTATGTTATTATAGCTCCTCATATCACCTCGAGGAGACTAGCTAAGGTGGTTTTGATGGGTTAATAACATTATAGGCGTCACATCCAGAAATTAGACACTGTAGTGTACACATATCCCGGAGGAGTACGGTCACTAGCGTGGGTCCAGTCTTAGCGAGCCGCACGGCATGCGTTAACCGTCACCGTAGCGAGATCAAGGTACTGCTCAAGGTGGCAACACTTTAATGTCTGCGGCAACACCAAAAAAGCTGTACAGGGCTAGTTGCGAAAGGCACGGCAGGAAAGAAAATAGGCTTATCCACGCCATGGGCGAAAAGTACTACACAGGGGTGCCGCGAGCACGTCTTCGTGGTAAAAGTGATACACGGGGACACTGGGACAAAGGGCCCGGTTGCTAGAGGGAAGGCAAAAATGCTCGCATTGGCTTCGGAGAGGTATGGGTTGGCGTAGTTTGACCATGCACTAGGACACCGCACCGCTCTTCGGCCTAGCGTTCGAAGGAGGGGCGACAAAAGGTAAGCGTTCGCCGCGTGCACATGGCGTTGTTGGCGAAGTCCGAACGAGCGCCAAACAAAGGGAGCCCACGGACAGAAGAAAGCGTGCTTACCGCATGTTGTCCTGGAGAGATTCTTTCTTGCTCTCGACGCGCGTGCGTGAAACGTCTTGAGAGACTTTGCGCGCCGCGCCACAACCGGCATCCACTACCGAGTGAGAGGGGTTAAACGTCACTTCTCGCTCCCGCAGCGTGGCAGAGCATGGAGGAGGATAGTCATGTCAGAACATGGGAACGGCAGAAAAAGGCAGCAAAGCCCGAGCAAAGGCGGCAGACTAGCCTCGATTCCCACAACACCATCATGTAAAACTTGCAAATATTAACTGAATCTGCCACGCTGTATCAGTTAACAAATAGGTATGAAAGGGGGCCTTAAATGGTTTTTGAAATTTTGTCACTATTTAGACTACAGTTTCACCGTGTCACGTGCATCGCAATTTAAGCGACACACCTATCAAGCAGTTACAGGATAACTGTGTAATAAATCACACAGGAACCCTTCTTATTATCACCACTGCCTTGTCTTTTTTACTCATTGGCCATTGCTGGTGACAGCAGCACACCTGACAGGTTGAGGTGCACAGCCTTTTTTGTGGCCTCTGCAGTGAGCACCAACAGTGCACCTAGCACGCCACGGCAACAAAGTGCTCAGAGTGGTTGACATCTGCTCCACAATGGGCCACAGCTGCTTTTGTTTTGTTTCCTCGGTAATCTGCAAATGGCAAGAAGTGTGCCGACAAACAAAAAGTATTTGAGAGGGATCTACGTGGGGATGAACTTGCAGCTGCAGAATCCTGGCATTGAATGGATAGCGAGAGCCCCACACTCAATGCACCAGTGAAGGGTCAGTAGTGATTGGATGTATCCAATCAAATAGGTTGCCAGCGCTACATATAGTGGAACACTTCAGTAGGGATAGGAAGTGGAAAAACTTGTTTGGCTGTCACTGCAATCGGTAGCAATTTGTATGTTTAAAGATGCAAAGAGCTTAAAGTGGCTTTCATGAAAATTTCACGGTCGGGGAGAAAATACTAAGTTCCTTCCTGCATGTTCCTGCCTTTGTCAGTTTTGAGTGCTACAATTGCTTCGCAGGGGTTGTGCGCACCCATGTTTCATTGGATCATGAGGCCTGTGCGCACTACTGGCTCACCGTGGTGGCGCGTGACTTGAGCCCTGTACCCCTTGAGGCGTTTGTCGACCTACACGTGGCCGTGCGTGACCTCAACGACCAATTGCCCCTGACCGAGCTGCCAGCCTACGCAGTGACCGTGGCCGAACACAGTGCATCTGGGGCAGCCATCCTCACCATGACTGCACGAGACTCAGTTGATTGGAGACTCGTGGACGATGCGGCAGGCTGCTTTGCCATCGATCGTCGCTTGGGCACTGTCACCACCATCTGCTCTTTGGACCGTGAGGCTGAGGAGCGACACGTGCTCGAAGTGGTGCTCACTGACCGAGGGGAACCGCCACTATCGTCCACCACCCAAGTGCTTGTCATGCTTGCTGACATTAATGATCACAAGCCAGTGTTTACACAGTCATTGTACCGCTTTCGGGTTCTCCCAGCCAATGGTCAAGTGGATGCGGTTCCCCTCTGCCAGGTACGTTTATGTCCACTGGTTATGTGACGGGTTTTCATTTGGTAAACTCGCCATTTTAGAAGTGTGTCTGGTGCCGCAGGTGCTACACTTTGGCTGCTCTCTCCCTACTTGTCCATCGGCCTTCTGGCAACTCAACTTTTCATCTCAGTGATGTAATAGCTGCGCCAATAGTGTCAAACCGTGCGATTAAACCTGCTATATCCTGCAAGTTTTTTTCGAAAGTCTCATAAATTGGCCCGAGCATGTGCCAAGACGTAATTCTTACAATCGATTGGAGAAAAAAAAAAAGACTGAAAGTTCTTGCAAAGCATATTTAGGTTGACACTATTTTTGAATAGTCCTTGCAGCATACTGGCGAGTGCTATGTACTAGTATTTGCGAGGCGTCACACAGCCGAGTATTGTGGACAGCCCTTTTATACGCAACTAGACAATACTGTAAAATTAAGTTCAGTGAAAGTTGCTTTAATTGTTGTGTGCCAAGCTAGAGAAAGTTAACGCTTGTTGAAGTTACAAGTCTTTGGATGGCAGTCCTCTGTTGGCTGTATTCTGTTAATTAAATTCATCAGTAGGTGCACCTTCTTTAATAGACCATTTCCTTGCAGTTAATTTGACGAAAAAATTGTGCCACTGTATGTTGCAATGTACTTCCATATAGGTTGAGACAGGGGGCTTAATTTTCAAGTGCAGTATCACCATATAATTATCAGACTTTGTCAAGTATGAAGAACAAGACTGACAACTAATCGTAAGATGACTTGCCACTCGTGTGTGTCATGAAACCTTCCCACAGACACTTGCTGCCCATACTCGCACACCACAACTTGTGGTATGTGGGTGTGTGTTACAAACAGTGTATTGAAACAGTACGAAAACTTGACCGAAACAATATCTATTCTTATGTACCAGAGTGAAAACAAATTTTCTTTTTCGGCGTTTCTTGGTTCAAGTAGAAACTTGACAATTCAAAACAACTAAGGTTACGCAAGGTGAGCAATGCACAGTACTAGTGCAGGCAGGAATTTCAAAATAACAATGTGTTGACATTGTGTGAAACAATGGCAACCAAAGATTTTTGTATTATCTCAAGTGGACTTTCATGTGCCTGTGACACATGCCAGTGTGAAGAAAGAATTTGCGGCGTAGCAGTTTGTTTACATGAACAGCAGTCTCGCATATGTGAGGTATGCTCGATGACAGAATGCAGAAATTTCGTAGTTCACTTTTGAGAAAGTCTGCTATTATGTAGGAGGGCACTGGTTTGCACTCATTTGTAGGAATATTTAGTAATTGTACTCCTCTTAAAACGGGTCCTACCTCTGTCTCACGTAGCATAAGTTCCTATACAACAAAACAAATGTTGTTATCTTTACAAATTTTCGCATATAAATACTTTGCATTACAAACTGCTACAGCACATTTTTTTTTCTTTGTGTAACAGGAATGAACAGAACTTTTCGCTGTGTAACGAAACTAAAACTGAAGTAAAAAAAGTTTTCATTCCGAAATCCTGGCCACATGTAATTCACATTTTATATAAAACAGAGCAGCAAGGAAAGATGGCACCAACTTTATGAAGCACTTAGCGTGGATTAAACTAGAGGACGACATACGGCTTGTTGTAGTTGTGATATCAGCACAGCGCAAATATTATCACTTATGCAGTCATGTGATAGCTGTGCCAATTGTGCCAAATAGCACCAAGAGGCAACACCTACTACATTCTGCTACATCTTAACGAAAAGTAAATCTGTACTCAGATTATGTGGTAGCATCATGTGGCATCACCTTCTTAGCAGAACAAAAAGGCTTGCCAAAGACTGGCAAAACAAAAGTGAAACAGCAGTACTGAAGATCATTTCTGAACTAATGCAATCAAATGATGTCCCTTCAGCTGTCTTAATGTTGTGATGTTTTAGTTGTGGTGTACACGTATCCCGAAGGAAGAAAGGACTCAACGAAGTCATTACTTGAAAGCTGTGGTCTATTCTTTTATTTCTGATGCGAGGAAGCTATTGATTGTGTTCTAGAACATTTTTATGGCAGAATATTATTATATCAAAACCTTGATGTAAGCTCAAAGTTCTTGAAAGCCCTTGAATTTTGACATTCAGCATCTGTACAATGCAACAGACCGTTAAAAGTGTTCCCCAAGAAAGAGTGGTTGAAAAATAGGTAAACCTTTATTCCTTTGACGTGTCCTTATGAATAGGTACTCTCCCACGATCTCAAGGGACTGACTGAACACTGTATACGGTGTGGTAGAAAACAAACGTGGCCAGAAGTAGACAAGAAAAAAAGCAGACTGAAGGTTTATTTATCCCACACTACATATATATATGACACACAGAAAAAAGAAAAAGTTAGCATTTCAAGAAACAACAAAGTTGGTACACCTAAAGCACGAGGCAGAATAGCAGATTCATTACCTACGTGCACTATTTACCTGATACTGAAGCTTTTTATCTAGGAGAGCCACTGTTGGTTTGCTCATGCAGTTGTCCGGTTCCTGTGCAAGCTTCTCTGCTTTAATGATCATAGGGTATAATCGTCTTAGTAGTGCTTATGCAATACACAGCTGTATTTTCAAATTGCGCATGTCAACCCAGCCTGCTGGCATGCTGAGCCAATAAACCTTCACTTTCCCTTGCGTACATTACGTGCATGCTCACGCAGGCACTCATTGAGGCACCCAATAAAATTATTTTCTTTATTTTTCGTGGCTTAGGGCTTACATAGACAGTTCTATGAGATCTTGAACAATGCATCTTCTCTTTTGGCAGGTGCTGGCAGTGGACCGTGACGATGTGAACCTCACCTATTCGGTGGTCAGCTCACCTCAATTCTCCATCAACCCCATCACAGGCCTGCTTCATGCACACGTGCAGCTACTCCCTGGTGACACTCACGAGCTCATGGTGAGTGCTTCTCTGGTGTGGCGCCTTGTATGTCTGATTCAACATTATTCATGAAATAACAAGCTTTTAGTGAAATTATGATGGGGCAACTTCCTCCCTTCTCGCTGTATGCACATTTGTGAGCTGGCGTGTGTGACTCACAGAAACTATTCATTTGAGTCTGGGATGTCCTTATTCAAGATGGCCTCCATATAATCTATGCACATAAAACTGGGCTTCAGAATATTTCATAACCTGAAAATAAAAAAATGCTGACAGGCTTCTTTTTGTAGGTGTTAGCCTCAGATGAGTCTAAAGAGCTGCTTCTGCACTGCTTACATGACCTCTGACGATGTCATCCGATGATGGCATTGTCTCTTTCTGACATCATGAAGTCGCGACTAGGGTTGCCACCTGCTCGGTTTTATACCGGCCTGGTTGTTTTTTTCGGCAGTGGACTGGTCGCTGGCAGTGACCTAAGACCGCTCATTATTGATCTGTTTTGTAGCGATCATAGCATCACCGTTTTCTTTTTAAAGGCGTAATGTCAGCAACTTCGGAGATACTGAATATTTTATTGCAATAGCAAATTAATAGACACTCTCGACGACTGATTTTTCGCTGTCACTGATATATATATATATATATATATATATATATATATATATATATATATATATATATATATATATATATATATATATATATATATTGTCATAGGGTCGTGACGTGGCCGAAGACAGGAGACTTCGTGTTGGGATTTAACTGTTTATTTGGGCGAACCTGTGCCCGGTAAACGCAAAGTCCAATTACAGCAGCAGTCTCGCACAGATAGCAGTGTCGGACTGATAGCGACGAGTGGAGCGTCGGCCTTCGATCAACAACTCACAAGCGGCTAAGCGCGTCGGCATTTATACCCTTCCCGTCAAATGTTCTAGCGTTATCGCTGGCGGTGGCGTAGGTTCCAGAACAATCTATACCGTTCGCACAGTGGGCGTGATCTTATCGAAATGATCTACTACAGTCCGGAACCTTCTCGAAAACTGCAGGCGCGGTTTGCGCTGAGAATCGTGCGGTGTTTTGGGACGATAACAAAAACTTGGGAAATGGAACGTGGCATTGCCCCCCTCTGAAAAAAGGCATCGTCCCAATGCTTTAACTAAAGATGAAGGTACAATAATAATGCAAGAAAGTGCAATGAATAAATTAAGATACAACAATAATACAAAAAAACACTGTTTCAGTTTGTTAACGCGCATAAAACAGCTTGAGGCGCGCGACATGGACGACTTCAGGTCGCGATCGGCGTCGTTGAGAGTTCGTGATGCCGTCGGGGACAACCTCGTAATCAAGTGGGCCGAGACGTCGAACCACCCTGTACGATCCGAAGTACCGTCGCAAAAGCTTTTCACTTAGTCCACGTCGGCGTATCGGTGTCCACACTCAAACACGTTCACCGGGCTGGTATTCCACAAAGCGTTGTCGAAGGTTGTAACGGTGGCTGTCGGTCGTCTGTTGATTCTTGATACGGAGACGCGCAAGTTGTCGGGCTTCTTCGGCGCGTTGAAGGTACTCGCTCATATCGAGGTTTTCTTCGTCGGTGACGTTGGGTAACATGGCATCGAGCGTCGTTGCCGGGCTCCTTCCGTAGACCAATTTGTATAGAGATATCTGCGTCGTCTCCTGCACCGCCGTGTTGTATGCGAAGGTCACATACGGAAGAATGGCGTCCTGTCTTGTGTTCGACATCGACGTACATTGACAGCATGTCGGCGATCGTCTTGTTAAGCCGCTCGGTGAGGCCGTTGGTCTGTGGGTGGTACGCTGTCGTCCGGCGGTGGTTTGTTTGGCTGTATGCCAAGATCGCTTGAGTTAAGTCGGCAGTGAATGCCGTTCCTCTGTCGGTGATAAGGACCTCCGGGGCGCCGTGACGTAGGACGATATTTTCGACGAAGAACTTAGCTACCTCGGATGCACTGCCTTTTGGCAGGGCTTTTGTCTCGGCGTAGAGGGTGAGGTAGTCGGTAGCTACCACGATCCGCTTGTTTCCGAAAGCCGACATCGGGAACGGCCCCAGTAGGTCCATACCAATCTGCTGGAAAGGTTGGCAAGGTGGATCAATTGGCTGCAGAAGTCCCGCTGGCCTTGTCGGCGGTGTCTTGCGTTGCTGTCAGTCCCGGCATGTCGTCACATAACGAGTGACGTCGGTGGTAAGACGTGGCCAGTAGTACCTTTCTTGTATCCTCGCGAGCGTGCGAGAAACACCGAGGTGCCCTGCCGTCGAATCGTCGTGCAGGGCCTGCAGGAGTTCTGGTCGCAGAGCTGAAGGCACCACAAGGAGGTACTTAGCTCGAAGCGGTGAAAAGTTTTTCTTTTGTAGAAGACCGTTTCGTAGAAAGAACGACGCAAGTGCGCGCTTGAATACCTTCGGGACTTCGGCGGTCCTGCCTTCGAGGTATTCTATTAGGGCCTTAAGTTCCGGGTCGGCCCGCTGTCGTTCAGCGAAGTCGTCGGTAGTTATCGTTCTCAAGAAGTAGTCGTCATCCGGGTCGTCGGGTAGCGGTTGGTCGACATGCGCACGAGAGAGACAGTCGGCGTAGGAGTGTTTTTTGCCGGACTTGTAAATGACAGTAATGTCATATTCTTGAAGTCTCAGGCTCCATCGTGCGAGGCGAACTGAAGGGTCCTTCAGGTGGCTAGCCAACACAAGGCGTGGTGGTCGCTCACAACTTTGAAGGGCCTGCCGTAGAGATAGGGGCAAAACTTCGACGTAGCCCAGATGATGGCGAGGCAGTCCTTTTCTGTTGTGGAGTAATTTGCTTCTGCTTTGGATAGCGATCGGCTGGCGTAACTAATAACCCTTTCAAGTCCGTCAGCCCTCTGCACAAGAATGGCGCCAAGACCTACGCTGCTTGCGTCAGTATGTATTTCTGTCTCGGCAAATTCGTCGAAATGGGCAAGTAATGGAGGCGTCTGGAGGCGATGTTTAAGCTCCTGGAAAGCGTGTTCCTGTGGCGTTTCCCACTTGAACTCCACGTCGGCCTTGGTAAGGTTAGTGAGTTTTTCACGAACCGCCTATAATAGGCGCACAGGCCCAGAAATCGGCGTACGGCTTTCTTGTCAGTGGGCGGCAGGAAGTCGGCGATGGCGGCTGTTTTCCGTGGATCGGGACAACCCCAAGAAACAAGAGCTCCTCATACGCAAATCTGCACTTTTCTGGCTTCAGTGTGAGTCCGGAAGTCTTGATGGCTTGAAGTACAACTTCAAGGCGCCGAAGATACTCGTCGAAACTCGAGGAAAACGCGACGACGTTGTCCTAGTACACAAGGCAAGTCTGCCACTTCAATTCTGCCAGTACTGTATCCATAACGCGTTGAAAAGTTGCAGGCGCTGAGCAAAGGCCGAAGGGCAACACCTTAAACTCGAAGAGGCCGTCCGGTGTTATAAACGCCGTCTTCTCTCGGTCTTTTTCGTCAACTTCGATTTGCCAATAGCCAGTCTTGAGGTTCATTGACGAAAAGTACTTGGCGTTATGGAGCCGATCAAGTGCGTCGTCTATTCGTGGGAGAGGACACACGTTCTTTCTTGTGATTTTGTTCAGGCGGCGATAATCGGCGCAGAAACGTAGGGTCCCATCCTTTTTCTTCACTAACACCACGGGGGATGCCCATAGACTCTTGGACGGCTGGATAATGTCATCCCGCAGCATTTCATCAACTTGTCTTTTCATGGCCTCATGTTCTCGCGTCGAAACCCTGTACGGACTCTGACGGAGTGGTCTGGCATTTTCTTCGGTTATGATGCGATGTTTCATGATTGGGGTCTGCTGAATTTTCGATGACGACGAAAAGCAATCTTCGTATTGCAGGAGCAGGGCCTTGAGCTGTTCTTGCTTATCGTTCGGAAGTCTGGGATTGACGTCGAAAGCTATGGGAGGGGCTTGGTTCCTCTGAGCAGGTTCCGCAGAATCGGCGAGGGCGAAAGCACTGGTGGCTTCGACAATTTCTTCGATGTATGCGACGGTTGTTTTTTTGTTCACATGTTTGTACTCATTGCTGAAATTCGTGAGCATAACCGTTGCTTTGCCTCCCCGCAGCTCTGCAATTCTTCTTGCGACGCAAATATTTCGGGTGACCAACAGATGCTGACTGCCTTCAACGACGCCTTCTAAGTCAGGTGATTTAGGAGCGCCGACTGAAATAATGACGCTTGAGCGAGGCGGAATAGTGACTTGTTCTTCCAGCACATTCAAGGCATGGTGTCCTGACGGCGTTCGCGGCGGTAGTGCTTCTTCTGTGGATAACGTTATCGACTTTGTTTTTAGGTTGATGACAGCACCATGAAGGCATAAGAAGTCCATGCCAAGGATGACATCTCTCTAGCAACGCTGTAGGACTACGAAGTCTGTAGGATAAATACGGCCGTTAATGGTGACTCTCGCTGTGCAGATTCCTGCAGGCGTTACGAGATGACCTCCGGCTGTTCGGATTTCAGGGCCTTTCCAAGCTGTCCTAACTTTCTTTAACTTCGCGGCGAATGACCCACTGATGACAGAATAGTCGGCTCCAGTATCGATGAGAGCGGTCACACTGTGGCCGTCGATAAGAAGGTCGAGGTCGCTAGTTCGCCGTCTCGCATTACAGTTAGGGCGTGGTGTCGGGTCACGGCTGCGTCGGCTTGTTCCGCTACTTCCATGTTGCGTCGTCAGGCCACCTTCGGTAAGTGAGCTTTCGCCGTCAGGGCTTTGCCTGGTTGGCGTTGTGTTCGGAAAGTTCTGTCGCGTCGTCGACGTCGTCGGAGGATCTTCAGTAGTTCGTCGCACAGCAACCGCACCTCGACTGGTTGCTGCCCTTAGTTTCCCGGGTACGGGCTAGGAGACCGGCCCCGCGTTGGGCCAGAGTACTGCCGGTGGTGCGGTGACGTGCGGCGGCTGGGTGACGGCGAACGCGAAGGGCTTCGTGGTGTCTACTGAGTTCCTGTCAGGTAGTCGGCGATGTCACGTGGTCGTTCTCTTGGCTGTG